CGACAGATAAAAACCTTGTTAGTGTTAGTGTCCAAACAACGATAGCCACGATAAGACGGATGATAGCCTAGAAAGACACAGGGAGATGAACGAAACTGGAGTTTATTGCGATTATAAGGACGTAGGACAGGAAAGCACAATTAGCCAAACACTCACAAGTAAGAGTAGGACGTGGGAGATCGATGTAAACGGAAGTGAGGGGACTCATAACACGAGTAGGCATTTTATTAATTAGATACACAGCAGTTTCAAAAGCATAGTCCCAAAAACGAGACGGGACAGATGCTTGAGCCATTAAAGACAGCCCTGTCTCAACAACATAACGATGTCTGCGTTCCACTCGACCATTTTGCTCGTGAGTATACGCACAGGATTGCCTGTGGCGAATACCCAGCGAAGCAAGAGTGGAACCAAGCTTTTTATATTCTCCCCCTAAATCAGATTGAATGGAAATAATCTTGCAAGAAAAAGAACGTTCAACGAGTGACCGAAACTTATCAAATATAGCATACAAATCAGATTTAGCACGCATGGGATAATACCATATATAACGAGTGTAATCATCCACAAACAACACAAAATATTTATAGCCAGACGTAGAAAGTAATGGCGTCGGGCCCTAAATATCTGAATAAATTAATTCCAAAGGATGCATACTAGTAGTTTCGACACGAGTCAAAGGAAAACGAGAGGATTTTCCCAATTGACAAGAGGAACAGACATTGGGAAGATCAATAGAATTAAATGTACCAATAGACGAAGACGTTAAAATTTTACGTAAGACGCGAGAATGAGGATGCCCCAACCGCATGTGCCAAACGTAAGAGGATCGCGCAGTAACAAACGCAGCAGGAGCTGAGGAAGACGCAGGCCATGTGTAGAGACCCCAGACGCATGTCCCTTAAAAAGAACATTCCTGGTCAAAATGTCCTTCACATAGAAACAAAGGGGGTGAAACTCAAAGAAAACATTATTGTCTTTTGCAAAACGCTGGACAGACAATAGAGAAGAAGAGAGACCAGGGACATGTAAAACATCATGTAACTTAAAAGACCTAGAATCAGTAGCTAACGAAGCAGAACCAACATTAACAATAGGCAAACCTGTACCACTGTCGACTCGCAGAGTCTCCGGGCCATCATAACGTGTCGCAGAAGTTATCAAAGAAGAATTAGGCGTAACATGATTTGTAGCACCAGTGTCAGGGAACCACTGATGAGGACCGTTGGAATCACCATTATCACCAGAGACGACCACATTAACCTGAAACCCCGGAGCCCCTGAATAACGCCGAAAATAGTTGGCTCCCGTGTGACCAAAACATTTACAAATTTGACAAGGATCATCATAGCGCCAAAAACAATTGGCTCCCGTGTGACCAAAACGTTTACAAATTTGACAAGGATCATCATAGCGCCAAAAACAATTGGCTCCCGTGTGGCCAAAACGTTTACAAATTTGACACGGATCATCAATGGCACGTCGTTGTTGGACCGCTTCTCATACGGTGTATCTTGATTTGATGCCATCGGCTACTGCTACGAAGCGAGGTGACGCCGTGTCTTTACAAAAATTAGTTTGGTCTGTGCTTCACGTTATTTTGGCCCTCATAATAACCCTAGCTAACTGATACTAGATGAGAATATAATTGTGTTGTATTCAATAATGATGTCTGAGAGTACAGGAAGCGAATATATAGAGATGATAGATAGAATCCTAGTCTAACACGAATAATATAGTCCTAGTCTAATATGGATAATATAGTCCTAGTCTAATATGGATAATATAGTCCTCTTATCACATCTACTTGTACAAAAAATACTTCTTATATTCAAACTAAAAGCACATCTTCAAATGATGTGGTATATCAAATACCCAAATCCCCACATGTTACGTGTAGTGAAATTATTTGAGGAAGTAATAAGTACGTAAACCAACTCATACGACAACTTGCAGGTAAAGACAAGGAATGAGAGTATAATTTCCGAGACATAGCCAATAATGTGTACTTTTGACATGACTTGGACAAAAATGTGCTGATCCAAAACCCTAGGCCAAAATATGTAAAGTACTCATGCCATTACCTTCTTTTCAAAACCCTATTTGAAAAGAAGGTAATGGCACTAGCTTCTTTTAGTTTTCTTTGCTTTGACCGAAAATGGCACAAAAGAATGTAATTGCATTGCCTTCTTTTCAATTTGTTTAATTAAAAGTTAAGAAGACAATAGTATTGCCTTCTTTACTAATATAATAATTATTTAGAATTGCAAACGTCATTAATTTGTTTAATATATGTGATTATATGATGTTCAAAGCAATTAAAGAATTGATAATGTTCTTCCTAATTCTATATTAATTAGAATACAACCCTTGCAATTTTTATTACTTCGAATTTATTTTTTTTAAATTTTATTTTATTAAATATTAATTAATAACATAAAGTTTTCAAAAAAAAAATCAAATAAGCAAAGATTTTAAAATTTTAAATAGTCATTGCCACAGAGTATTAAAAAAGGTTTTCAAAAAACTTTTATTGAAAAAGCAAAAAAATTGGGTTGTTGAAAGGGATGCACGCTAGCCACGCCTAGTCGATCACATCAGCTACATCAGTCATGCCTAACTTTTATATTAAATTTTGGAAAATAATTGGTTTACTCTCATTTTATACTCACAAATTGTACTCTCTCTCACATGTTTTTGATGTAGTCACATTTTTTTAGACTCATATGATGAAAATAACAAATCCTGATTTGCCACCTCAAACAGTAAAAATGAGGGAGTAGAATTTGGGAGTTGTAGTAAAACTCTTAAACTTTTTAGGGAGCATTGAACGGCTACATCAACTTTTTTTTATTGAAGGGAGCATTAATTGAATTGATTGAACGGCTACATCAGTTTTTTTTTTTTGAAAGCTGAGCAACTTCAATATAATAAAAACAAAACCTCATTTCTTTTGAGGTCTGGTCAGCCGCTGCAAAACCTCACTACTTTTACTTTAAAAATTAAAAAAAAAAAAAAAAAAAAAAACCTTGCCGGAGAACAAAGAACACCGGAGACGAAGAACTCACTGCTAAAAGTTGTCGGAGCCACCGGAACCGGATAACTCACCGCTTCGTCTCCTGGCCGGAGACGAAGAAGTTTTATTCATCTCCGGCCAAGAGACGAAGAAACGTTTCTCCGTCTCCAGGCCAGAGACGAAGACGCTTTTTTTTTTTTTTTTTTTTAAGAACAAAATATGTTTTACTTTTACTTAAATTTAACAAAACAATGTTTTCATAATTTTATTTTATTAAAATAATATTTAAAAAAATAATCTCATATCGGCCAATTCAACTGCAAATAGGTAAACAAGTCACTTTTAGTTCAATTCATAAATAGGTCACAAATACATAAAATATTAATCATATTTTTACATTGCATCAATCATCACTAATTTAAATATTTCGGCATTGTAGTAGTTGATGAATGTCTAAAACTAATGCTTTTTTCCTTGCACATTTTGGTATTTATACTGGTTAATCGTTATATTATGGAGCCAATTTGGTAACTTATGTAATGATTGTTTGTGCTTAGGTGACTTGACAAGAAAATGATGTTTTGAGCCAAACATTGAGTTATTTGATCAAGATTTCAAGTCATCATAGCATGATGACTTTTTTGTGAGGCAAAATGAAGAAAAGAAGATTGAACAACACTCTTTCATGTGCCAAATATTTGTGCCTTAGTGGTATTGATGATATAGGCAATTCAATAGAAAGACAAAGCAAAAGATAGTAAGGTATTTTTACCATATCTCGGTCTAGGAGTGTCCAAATCAAGTGATTTTTATATCATTGGAAAGCTAACTTCAAGGGATACAACTTTGATGAATACAACAAATGCTAATTAAAAGTTTTTGGGGTGAAAAATAGCCTAGAAGTTGAAGCAGGTGCACAGATTTCATTCGTGGCAACCAGGCGATGTACACTGCCTGGTGGCCACTGGGCAGTACACACTGCATTTTTTGCCACGGGTGAAGCCACGCACGCCTATGGCCACACCCGTGGCCAGCCCTCTGCAACTTTTTGCAGCGCGTTTTGACCCATTTTAAGAGGATTTTTCCACCCCAAAACTCATCTTTCATTACATCTTTCATTTCCCTTTCATTCCTTAGTTAGGTTTAGCTCTAGTATAGCTTAGATTAGTGTAGATTTCTTGTTCCTTTCCATTTCCAAGCTCAAGAACACATTGCAATCTTGGATTTCAAAGCTTCAATAGAGAAGTTTTCTTATTATCTCTTATCTTTACTTTTCATCTATGCTTTCAATTACTCCTTTAATATTGTGCATCTATTGTTATATTATGAGTATCTAAGTGTTTTGGGACTAGGATTTGGTTTGATTTCTTTATATTGATGCCTATTTGAGTTGTATTGCATAAAGGGGATTATTTGGGTGATATAGGGTTGTTGTGTGAAATGGGTTTGTTGAGAAATTTGTGTATGATTGTTGGATCCCAATTATATGCTTGATTTGGAGTGTGTTTGTTGCTACGAGAGTAGAGCTTGTACATTAGCCAGACATTCACACACTTAATACCCAATACGAGAGTATTTTGGGTGTTAAGGGGAATCTTTGCCTTGTATTCTTGTTTGGGCATCCTTGGGTTGAATTGTCACGAGAGTGGAGTTCAATGTGAGGTTGCAAGTCCAAATAGCTACTGTTAGTGTTTTTTATATGTCCAAAAACTCCATATTATAATTAGCAATATTATTATGGCATACTAAGATAGGTTTAGAGTCTGTTCGTTTGGTTCTACAGCTAACTGATCAATCAGAAGCAACAACAGAAGAACTGACACTGGAGATCTGATTTAGGAAGTTGTTTCCTTAAAAGGCTCACGCGGTTTTACCAGACCAGTATGGAAAGATGATCAGCGTATATTGTCAAGGAAGGTATGGACCTAACCTTCTGAGATTACATTCCTATTTTACAGTCCTACCTTCTACAATCAAAGTCAACTATGGAGAGTGTTTATTGAAGGATCTATAAGTATCCTTATTTGACAAGAATTAGGGTTACGCCGAAAATAAGAAGAAACACTCCATATCTGCTATATGAGACTAGAACTTTGATTGACATGCGTCTTCTCAGTACAATATGTTCATGGTGATTAAGATGATGAACTTGAGAAGAGTTACTGCTGCTTAAATGAAAGGACACTGTGATCACACTGTTGTGGGAATAACCTTATAGAGCGTCATTGAAGTGGACTGCATCAGAGTGGGCTCTCCAAGTGAAGGGATTTCATTGGACTTCTGTATGCATGGCTCTTCATCTTCAACAATCCACTAAACCTGTGTAGACTGGGTTTGTACCTTGTGTGGGGCACTTGGGTAAGATTATTGTATATCTACCTTTGTACATTGGATTATGATTTAGTGGATTGGTCGCCTATGTGATCGTCCCCCAGACGTAGATACACACCGTATCGAACTGGGTAAACATTCTGTGTCTTTGGCTTTTGCGCGGTTATCTTTCCTTTATATTCTCTTCATGATTTATCGTTACTGATTGTCCCCTTAACTGAATCAATCAGTAATCTAAGTCAGTTATCTAATTCTGTCAATTTACTTAAAATGAGGAATTGCAAAATTACATGTGGTATCAGAGCTTTTAAGTCTACATAGTGACTTGATCCGAAGGGCTGTTTTAGTTTTGCATTCTCTCATTTCTTTTTGTGCGAGTCTGTCTGTGTGTTCGTTGGCTGGTTGTTGTATTCAGGATGGATGCAAGTATGAAACCACCAGAACTAGATGGTCACAACTATTCTTTCTGGAAGGCTCGTATGGAGATATATCTTCAAGCACAAGGTACCAGGGTTTATCGCACCATCTTAACTGGGTGGAGTCGGCCTACTACCCCAAATGCACAAGGAGTTGCTGAAGAAAAACCCATGGAGACTTGGACAGACGATGAAATGAATGACTCTGATCTAAACAACAAAGCATTGAACTCAATTGTAGGATCACTGCATGAATCTGTTTTTACGCTTGTTACAGGAGTAAAAGAGGCTAAACGGGTATGGGAGATTCTTGAAACCAGATTTGAAGGAACCAGTGATGTCAAACAGTCAAAGCTGCAAATGGTTCTGTCAGAATTCGAAGCACTCAGAATGATTGAAGACGAAACCATTTCTACCTTCCACAGTAGGGTTCAGAACTTGATGAACCGAGCCTCAATACTTGGGGAACCGTTCACTGATGAGAGAGTGGTCAAAAAGATCCTTAGATCTTTACCTAAACGTTTTCGAATGAAAGTAACTGCTATTCTGGAACACACAGGTTGGGAGAAGAAGACAGTCGGAGAACTCATGGGAAGCTTACACACATACGAACTGGAAGTTCTTGCTGATGATGATATTGGAAGCAATAGGAAAGGAAAGTCGGTAGCTTTTGTGGCTGAGGCTGATCGAGAATCTGACACAGACGACATAGATGATGAAACCTTAGCTCTTCTAACCAAAAACTTCAAGAAAATCTTAAAAGGTTTCAACAGAAAGGGTCAAGGTCAGCCTACCAGGACACAATACAAAGGCAACAACTCCTCATATCAAAAGGTAGAAACATCACCTTTCTCACAAAACAATCAATCTCAGACTGGGCGATCAAGACAAATCAGAAACAGTTCCACAGACTCAGGAAAACCTCTCAATCGGTCAGTACAGTGTAGGGAATGTGAAGGATACGGTCACATACAGGCTGAATGTGCAACATATCTCAAAAGGAAAAAAGGATATGTCTGTAGCTACTCTCAGTGACGATGAGGAGGAAACTTCAAATGATCAATCAGATGATGATGTGGGAAACTTTGTAGCTTTCTTTACTGCTACAGACCTTCAGTCAAACGGAGATCAATCAGATGGAGAATCATACATATCAACTGATGATTTTGAAGAGAGACATAATCAACTTGAGACAGAATTTGCAAAACTTGTTGCTAGCTGGGAACAACTTGTGAAAGTGAATAAAAATCTGAATGATGAGCTGAAGCAAAGAGATGATCTTCTAAAGAAATTAAATGCAGAACTGATCATAAAAGAAGATCTCATCACTCAGATACGGTCCAGAGAAGGAAAATTAATCAAGGAATTGGAGAACTTGAAGAAAAATATCCAGATGATGGACACCACATCTACCTTAGATAAGATTCTAGACTCTGGCAGAAATCCTAATGATAAAAAGGGTCTGGGATTTGAACAAGGAGAATCTTCGAATAACGCAACAAAGTTCATCAAAGAGGGAATGTCTAAGACCACAGCTGATCGCAGATATGAACAAGGATAGTCATCTCAGTCAGTACAAAACAAGGGAAGGAGGTACGATCAGAGTACTGATACTGACCTGGGCAGATCAACTCATCAATCTCATTATTCGAGGTTCAAAAATAAGATTGTCAAAGTTAGATATTACACTCCCATTTGCCACTACTGTCAAACAAAAGGTCATACTCGACCTGAGTGTTACTTTTTCTACAGAGATCAAAGGAAGGAAAAATATCAGAATAAGACTATTACACCATTCACTATACAGGTTTGGGTCAGAAAGTCAGAAGTTATCTACTACCCCACCATTGTTCTGACTGCGTCTACAACTGATGCTAGATGGTGTTTCGACAGTGGATGTCCCAGACATATGACTGGGAATATCAAGTGTCTGATGGCGGTTCAACCTAGCAGTGGAGCTGTAACATATGGAGATGGACAAAAAGGTAAAATCGTTGGGAAAGGTATACTAAATGTACCAGGTTTACCTCAATTAGAAGAAGTCCTGCTAGTCAGTGGGTTGAAAGCGAATCTAATTAGCATCAGTCAGTTGTGTGATCAAAATTGGAATGTGTGTTTCGATCGTAACTGCTGCAGAGTTAGTGACAAAGCAAATCAACTGGTCATGGAAGGAACCCGGTCCTCAGACAATTGCTATGTTTTGACAAATGAAACTGCATGTCACCTATCCAAATCTGATGAATCGAAACTCTGGCATAGACGACTAGGTCACATAAACTTTAGAGATATGGATAAGCTGATCAAACTGGAAGCAGTAAAAGGTGTACCTAAGATCAGAATTGATCCAGAAAAAATCTGTGGCGCATGTGCCATTGGAAAACAAATCAGAACTCCACAGAAAGCTGTTAGAGGTATCACCACTGAGAAATGCCTAGACCTTGTCCATATAGACCTCATGGGACCAACACAGACTGAAAGCATTGGGGGAAAGAAATACATATTTGTGTGTGTAGACGACTTCTCTCGATACAGTTGGGTATACTTTCTGAGAGAAAAGACAGAAGCTTTCAAGGCCTTTAAGACGCTGTGCATAAGAGTCCAGAAGGAAAAGGATGAATCTATTATAAAAGTTCAGAGATTAAGGAGTGATCATGGAAAGGAATTTAAGAACTCACTATATTCAGACTTCTGCTCCGAGCATGGTATATCACATGAATTCTCAGCTCCTAGAACTGCTCAACAGAATGGAGTAGTGGAAAGAAAGAATCGAACTGTACAGGAAATGGCTAGAGTTATGTTGCATGCTTCACATCTGCCACAACGCTTCTGGGCTGAAGCAGTTCACACAGCGTGTCATACTATAAATAGGGTCTACCTTAGACCAGGAACAACGAAAACTCCATATGAGATCTGGAAGGGAAAGAAGCCAAATTTGAAATATTTTCATGTGTTTAGGACTAAGTGTTATGTGCTGGCTGATAGAGAACAAAGAGGGAAGTTCGAACCCAAAAGTGATGAGAGCATCTTTCTTGGGTACTCTCCAAACAGTCGTGCCTACAGAGTGTACAACAAGAGGACTCAGTCTGTGATGGAGTCAGTAAACGTGGTTATCGATGACAATCCCGAAGAATCAGTAGACTCAACAGTGATAGAGTCTTCTCTAAGCGAGTCAGATGCGAATAATAACAACAGTCAGCTCAAACCACAAGAATCGTTAGACGAAGATCAAGAAAGTTCGGAACAGGAGATAGATCTCATAAATGATGTTGGTAAAGACAAACCCACCAGAACTCAGAAAAACTATCCATCAGATAACATTATTGGAGATCCATCAGATGGGATGAAGACTAGGAGCAGAATAAGAAATAATCTGACAGAAATATCTGGATCTGCTTGCTATACCTCAAAGATAGAACCCAAAAATGTCAAAGAAGCTTTACAGGATGATCTGTGGATCAAGGCAATGCAGGAGGAGCTACATCAGTTTGAGCGGAATCATGTTTGGAATCTTGTACCAAGACCTGATGGTGTCAACGTAATTGGAACGAAGTGGATCTTTAAAAATAAAACTGATGAAGCAGGAATATAGCCAGAACGCTCAAGGTTATACACAGATTGAAGGGATTGACTGTGACGAGACTTTTGCTCCTATAGCTAGACTCGAGTCAATCAGAATCTTGTTGGCTGTCGCATGCATTTTGGGATTTACATTATATCAGATGGATGTCAAGATAGCATTTCTGAATGGGTATCTCCATGAAGATATCTATGTGGCTCAACCTAAAGGTTTTGAAGATCCAGAACACCCTTCTTATGTCTATAAGCTTCGAAAAGCTCTCAATGGCCTTAAACAAGCTCCACGGGCCTGGTATGAACGACTGACACATTATTTGCTCCAGCATGGGTATAAACACGGAAGTGTTGACAAAACTCTGTTTGTAAAAACTACTGGAAGTCATGTAACCATAGCCCAAATCTATATTGATGACATTGTGTTTGGATCAACCCTGCAGAAATACACTGATGAGTTGGTAAAAGTGATGGAGGAAGAGTTTGAAATGTCCATGGTTGGTCAACTGACATACTTCCTAGGTCTACAGGTCAAGCAAAGTTCTAAAGGATATTTTATTTCGCAAGAGAAGTATGCTAAGAATCTTGTCAGAAAGTTTGATTTGGAATCATTTAAATCATCCAGAACACCTATCTCCACCTCTACAAAAGTATCGAAAGATGAAACTGGTATATCAGTGGATAACACAGTCTATCATAGCTTGATAGGCAGTCTGCTGTATCTAACAGCCAGTCGACCAGACATAATGTTCAGTGTTGGAATCTGTGCAAGGTATCAATCTGACCCAAAGGAATCACATCTGATAACTGCAAAACGCATTCTAAAATACGTTAAAGGAACAATACAGTATGGACTCTGGTATTCCAAGGACAGTGAACTGAATCTGGTTGCATACTGTGATGCTGATTGGGCAGGGAATATTGATGATTGGAAAAGTACTTCTGGAGGATGTTTCTTCGTTGGTAAGAACTTAGTATCATGGTTAAGTAAGAAACAGAACTCAATCTCACTAAGCACTGCAGAGGCAGAATACATAGCTGCAGGTGGTTGCTGTACTCAGTTGGTTTGGATGAAACAGATGTTTCTGGATTATGGTCTGCCTCAAGGAACAGTGACACTTTTCTGTGACAATGTCAGTGCTATTAACATCTCCAAAAATCCTGTTCAACATTCTAGAACGAAGCATATTGACATCAGGCATCACTACATCAGAGACCTGGTTGAATCCAAGGAAATTGAATTAGAATATATTCAGACAGACAAACAACTGGCGGACATTCTGACCAAGCCATTGGATGCTAATCGTTTTGAAATTCTCAGGTCTGCTCTGGGAATTTGCAGAATTGACTGATTAAAGCAGTCGGTCCGTCAGAGAGGAGTTGGTATATACGGGTCATTGTTATGATTTGACTTTTCCTAAAAGACTCCTCTCTATTTATGTTAAGAAGATTATTTAACCATATACTTCTCAGAGATATCTTAAAAGATATTAATTCTTTTTCGAATTTCAAATTTCCTTGGGTTCCGTTTCCTTCCTAAAAAGGAGCTGTACCATTGTGTCAATCAATCGCGTCTGCATGATATTTGACAAGCCGCATTAATTAGGGTTCATCACCCTTAAGCCTATATGATACCGGGTCAAGAAGAACAACTCATCCTTGAACACCTCAGCTCTCAACTTTCTATCTCTCTTGCAAATCTGCCTTCAGTGATCTGCTCTTCCCCTCGCACATAACCTTCTATGGCAGACCATGTAAGAAACATCATTATCAAACTTGGAAGCAAGACACATTCTTCAGAGGTGGCTCTTAAGCACATTCAGACGCTGCTGCAGTTTGCTATGAAGAAGAAGCTCAAACTTGATCCTCTTCTTCGCGACGAGACTTTAGTAACTATGATGACCTATTACCCAGAGTTTTATGCAAAATGGTCTGAAGATGATGCGATTGAACTGCTTATGATGGTTTCTGAAGCCAGTGATGAAGTTTCTCCAGTATATATTCCAGAACCCTTGGATGGTAATCGGGCCGGGGTATTCCTTCAATACTTTGCACATCGAGCCCTAGAATTGGTTGAGGCCTCTCGAAGGCAAGCGGAGGCGCAACCTCTGTATCTCGCAGCTGCTCAAAAAGAGGCAACACACAGACAGGAGATCCTCCGAAACAGGTCAAACCTTTCTGAAACTCCTATTGAAATTTCACCAGATAAACCTGATGTTTCTGCTACCCCATCTTATGTGCCTGTTATTTCTGAAAATTTAACTGCTTTGGATTCCGAGAAGCCTCTTATGAATGTTGAATCTTTATCTCTGCCTTTGAGTGAATCTGTTGGTATGAAAACTGATGTCTTGCATGTGTCTGATGAGAAAGCAAAGTCCTCTGATGAGCTAAATCCACTGAGTTTAGTCGTTTATTCTTCTGATCATATTGCTCTGCCTCCTACTGAGAATGTTGATGACACTAAAGAAACTTGCTCTGTTATTGATACTCCTGTTTTACCTGCTACTGTTGAAACTGTTGATTTATCAAGTCCCCACAAGTCTGAGAAAACAGGTGGAATTCCTGTTTACACTGCAACATCTTTAGGAGAGAGTCTGGAACATGTGCGACACTTTGCTGGGCTACCATCGGATTCCATCCCTCAACCATATCGAGTGATTCATCCTTCCGAATCCTCCAGTGAAGATGATAAAATACTGGCTGAAGTGTATGGATCTCAAGCACTTCAATCTGATGTTCCATCTGTTGAGGCAACTACTCATCCTGACTCCGCGAATTTCAAATTCGAGAGATTTCGAATATTATTGGAAGCTCGTCTGCAAATGTTTCTGATTCTAGCCACTCTGTGACTCCAGTTCAGTCCCCAACCAAGGAAACAAGACGGTCAAAAAGGAAGAATGTCCCAGTAAAGGTTGTTGTTGAGACCGGTGATGATAATGCTGATGTGGATCAACCTGAGAAGAAGAGAAAGTCGAGTGATAATGTTAAACCTGAAGGAAACCCTCCTGTTCAACAAGTGTTCAAGACTCTGCGATCGTCTGTTAAGCAGAAAGGATCTACTGCTGTTCAAGCTACCTCTGTACCAGCCCCTTCTGTCAGAAAAGGGAAGCCATCCACACGATCAAGAGGTCGAAGTATCACCCCTGAGGTCCCACCTGTTGAAGAAACTGACCCATCTGTTTACCGGCCTCAGTTTGTATCTTCTGCTGCACAGTCCAAATGGGCCACTATGGTTAGAAGGGATCTTATTGTTCAAAGATCGGTGGACGAGAACCAGCTGAACTCCGTTTGTGACATTCTGCCCTTGCTGAATGAAGTCGGATTGTTGAAAACTGTCACGGACATCTGCCCTTACTCTAAGCTGCTCACATATGAATTCTATTGCAATCTCAATGATGAGATTGACGTTCTCACAGGGCCACGACCGATGTAGATTTTTATCAGAGGAAGGTGGTATGTTTTTGGGCCGGATATAATTAATGAATACTATGGCTTGCCAGCAGTTCAAGAAGAAACTGTTACTGACTGGGACTTAGTTGCCAGAACTCTGACCGGTGGGCAAACAAAATCATGGCCTACGGGTGACAAGGACTATCTGCAAAGCTCCCATCTCACGTCCAGATATGTGATTTTACACCGCCTAGCTCTTCACAACTGGCTCCCATCAGCCCATTTTCACACAGTTGGCAAGCTTCTGGCTGGGTTCTTATTTCGAATTGGAACAAAGATGCAACTTGATCTGGGCAAATGGATTTACTATCACATCCTCACCCTTATTCACCCACGCGAACAGAAGGTAAGACTACCCTTCCCAAATCTGATTTTTGGCATTCTTACCACTCAGGGCCTTGAGCCTATGCCCAGTGAAGTGATCAGCCCAACGTTGCTTTATACTGTTGATAAACGTCTTCTGTCTGGAGATCACATTCGGGGTGTTGTTCCTGTGACTGCCCCATCCAATTTTGAACCTGATGTTGTGCCTGATGACTCTCCTCATGCTAAGGATGTTCAGCTTTCCATACAGTTGAAGGCAAGAGTTGCGGACCTTGAGACGGTGCATAGCATTATTGCAAAGCAACTGACAGGAGCCCGTACTGAGCGGGCCACTGTTCTTCTTCGTTTGAGCCTGACTGAAGCTGCTGCTGCTGCCGATCCTGTGAAGTCTGACAGTGACTCTCCCTCCAATGCTTAACCTTTGGCTACCATTGACAAAAAGGGGGAGTAGTATGAACTCAGGGGGAGTGTTTTTGTTTGAGTACCTTCTGGCCCTGGCTGGGCGTTGTGTTTTTTATCCTAAACTGTTTTGGATCCTATGTTTCTGCTTTTATTCTATGTAATCTGTTCGGACATATGGGTTGCTTCTTTATAATAACCTATCTCAGTTCATTGTGGTTGTAGTCGAGTTGTTTTGCCAAATAATAACCAAAGAGGGAGTTTGTTAGTGTTTTTTATATGTCCAAAAACCCCATATTATAATTGGCAATATTATTATGGCATACTAAGATAGGTTTAGAGTCTGTTCGTTTGGTTCTACAGCTAACTGATCAATCAGAAGCAACAACAGAAGAACTGACACTGAAGATCTGATTTAGGAAGCTGTTTCCTTAAAAGGCTCACGCGGTTTTACCATACCAGTATGGTAAGATGATCAGCGTATATTGTCAAGGAAGGTATGGACCTAATCTTCTGAGATTACATTCCTATTTTACAGTCCTACCTTCTACAATCAAAGTCAACTATGGAGAGTGTTTATTGAAGGATTTATAAGTACCCTTATTTGACAAGAATTAGGGTTACGCCGAAAATAAGAAGAAACACTCCATATCTGCTATATGAGACTAGAACTTTGATTGACATGCGTCTTCTCAGTACAATATGTTCATGGTGATTAAGATGATGAACTTGAGAAGAGTTACTGCTGCTTAAATGAAAGGACACTGTGATCACACTGTTGTGGGAACAACCTTATAGAGCGTCATTGAAGTGGACTGCATCAGAGTGGGCTCTCCAAGTGAAGGGATTTCATTGGACTTCTGTATGCATGGCTCTCCATCTTCAACAATCCACTAAACCTGTGTAGACTGGGTTTGTACCTTGTGTGGGGCACTTGGGTAAGATTATTGTATATCTACCTTTGTACATTGGATTATGATTTAGTGGATTGGACGCCTATATGATCGTCCCCCAGACGTCGATACACACCGTATCGAACTGGGTAAACATTCTGTGTCTTTGGCTTTTGTGCGGTTATCTTTCCTTTATATTCTCTTCATGATTTATCATTACTAATTGTCCCCTTAACTGAATCAATCAGTAATCTAAGTCAGTTATCTAATTCTGTCAATTTACTTAAAATGAGGAATTGCAAAATTACAGCTACGAGAGTGGTATTTGGACACTTTTGTGCATCTCACTTACCCTATGCCTTGATTTAATTCCCTAATCTTTAGTACAATATTTGGCATCTTAGCTTGAATCAACCAAGTCCCGGTCCTTTGTTTTACTTGTCTTATTTGTTATTAGCCTAATCATATCAAACCAACTCCTTACCAATAGGTCTAGCTTCTAAAAGAATAGTTCTAGCTTGTGTTTAACTTCACTTTGCATCAATTCCTAACATTACAAGAGTCATCTCCAGTGGAACGATATCTAAACTCTATACTGTAATTTGATACTTGATGGATGCATGAAAAATGTCCATATCAGTAGTCCTCACTAGTACCTACATTCAAATTGCAACGAACAATATTTAGTCTAATTATAATAAAATAGTTTAAATATACAAATCTAAATAATTTATAATTTCCATTATTACTTTCTCCGAGAATGAGTTCCACAACTTGGTGCCACATGTTGTCGCGATGATCGCCTTAACGGTCTATCACCTCCTTCCTCTAGTGGCTCAAGAGCAGTTGGCGGCGCAAGTTGAAGGTCCAACCCCATCCCACATTGATTAGACAGTGACTCCGTTTGAAAATTTATAATGGGAAGGTAAGTTGGTTCATTATTAAATGTTGGTCGTGGGGACCTGACCATCATATGTGGGATGGCGAACAGGAGTGGTGATTGAGGAAGATGATAAATGCTGCTAGACGGAGTGACGTATTGATTGTGTGCGGTTTGCTCACCATACTGTATATCACTACTCTGACCAATATCGGTAATGTGATGGTAACTGCTACCAACACCACCATACTATATACCACTACTCTGACCAATATCGGTAATGTGATGGTAACTGCTACCAACATCACAATATTGTATACCACTACTCTGACCAATATCGGTAATGTGATTACCTTCTTCTTGAAAACCCTAATGAGAAGAAGGTAATCAGCTTAGTACTTTACACATTTTTATCCACCTTTTTGTTTCTACCTATTTTTGTTTCTTGCTTGTCAAATTTGCACAAAAAATTCAACCACCCTATAAATTCCACCAAAGCTCCCAAGTTTTTGGTGGGTATTATTTAGCTGGTTGGGTGGGACAACTGACCTGAAGATCTAAGACTGGTTCATTTTCAAAGTCAATGATCAAACCCTTAATCTTTGATTAAGGATTGATGAGTTCCTTCCACTCAACCACACTCTCCAGGTTAGAATAAACTCTTTATTATTTTGTGGTTACTACTATTTACTGGACTTTTGTTGGAAGAATTATATTGCAATTTCATCATTTTTCCCTACTTCCAAAACATGAAAAATTGGTAATTTATATCATGGACGAGGATTCATATAGTATTATATATGGACCTTGATTTAAAACGACAATGTGCAAAATTTATACTTAGGTACATAATTTCATAAAATAAAACACAAAAAATCACAACACAAAACATATAACATTATAGACCCTGAATTGAAATTACTAAATTATCCATGTAATTAACACCCTTTTTAACGAAGGACAATATTTAGCAATAACCCTTTTTTTATTTATATTCTTAAAGTATAGAGAAATTTTATCTCATACCCCAATAGACTTGTAATAAAATGTATATTTTAATTAAAGTAATATACATTTGGAATGAAAAATTAAAATCTATGTTATAATAAATAAGGTTTCAAAAATAAGGTTTGATTTAAGTGAATAGAAGACAATGTGTCACTAAAATAATTATAATATGACATTCATACTGATTAGGGCGAATATTCAAAAAAAATAATAGCTTTTAATTTTTTTAATAGTTGAAACAAATCAAATTAAATAAATATTATCATATTTTAATTCTTACCATAAAAAAATAGTTACAAAAAATATTAAAAAATGAAACAAGTTCTATTTTGCATCCAGTAATTTAATTGTTATAATAATAATAATAATAATAATAATAATAATAATAATAATAATAATAATATAAACATAAAATGTCCATCATTATTGTTGTTGTTATTATAATGTTAAAAAATATTTTGCAATGAATAGGTTAATAATAATAAAAAGTTAAGAAAATAATTAATTACTAAAATTTGTACATAAATAAAAAAGTAGAAAGGGAAATATTGTTACATTGAAAATGTCTTATCATCAAGGTTACAAAAATCATTAGGCATTCCTCCGGTGTACACGAGGCGCCTACCGCCTAGGTGCTAGTTTTTTTGTTTAAAAATAAATTGTTTTATTTTTTAAATTATTTTAATGATACTAAATTATTTCAAACTAGACAAATGACCATTTCATCATATAAAATAGGCACACAGTTATCAAGTTGGGGGGAAAACGAATATACACATTTGAAAAATATAAACGTGCATGTATATAGGAAACATTTGATGTTAACTTCACTAATACAAATAAAATGAACTGTAAGTTGAATTTGAAATTTATGTCATTCATAAATAAATTATATAAAACGTGGAAAAAGCAATAAAGGAAAAAAGAATAAATAATATGTAAGTGTAAAAAATGTTACACATTGACCCACTTAAGATTGGCTTAAATTAGTTGTCAAAATAGTTAGTGGATTAGTCTAGCGTCTGGAGTAGTTGAGTCAGGATCAGCGCTAAGAAGTAAGCCAGGAGAAGTGAAACTCATTCAACTCTTTATTTCAGTCAAGACCCTATTCATAGGGTGATTTAAATTAATCAGGAGGAGCTGATTTGGAGGAATTAAAGGGTGAAGAAATTCGGATCATGAAGGCTTTACATTACCTCTATAAAATGCTACTTTGTTTAGCATTTCAATTTGCGTTTTTAC